CATTCTATAGAAGCTTAAGTATTTACTTTACAAACAAAAGTGGCCCATCCCAGAATGTTTGGAATGTGACCCAGTCCAAAGTTCACAGTGGGCTACCTGCAAGTAACCCAACTGCATTCTTTCAACAAAATGGCTGTCTTCTAAAACTATATTCTACAATTTACACCTTCAATAAATCCTAAAATCATGACCCAGAAGCCTGTGACCAATACTAAGGCTCTTAGATGTGATACAAGTTTGAATTATAAGTTGTGTGAAAGCCAAAACTGCAGTTTGTGGAAGAATGGGAGCAATGAGCTTCTAAAGTTAGCTTGTGTTCATCCTGGTCTCAGAGCTTTTATGTTTTGAACTCACAGGAGCTTAATCTGGTTAGTGCTGAGTAGAAAGGGGGAGAAAATGGGGTCAAATAGCTCCCGAGTGCATCCTAGTGGTCTCGGGGTCAATGGCCCTTCCTGATCCCTAACGCTCAATGGGCCTCCATGGCTGGCTCCCAACAAATCACTCCTTAGATCAGGCCAGATTTAGAACACACACTCAGTGATAACTCTCAGTCTGAGATGCTGATGTCTGTTGCTGTGGTCTTGCAAAGGGATAAATCTTACATGTGGACGATGGTGCCCAATGGGTTGGGTAAACCAAAGTGTCATGAAAACTGTGGCTGTCTTATTCCAGACCAACTTGCTCATGCTGATGACAACAGCATACCCAAAACATGGTGTGCTGGTTGTGAGTAAACATTGCTAAAACCACCCCAGCCCAGAATAGCAGGGGCCATCGTGAAACTATGAAAAATTCTGGTCCTTCTTCCACAAACTCAGTGTGATTAGAGTTGGTGGGGAGTGGTGGGGAAACCAGGAAGTGACAGAATCTTAGGCATTATACCCCCCAAAGCCACTGCTCTTCCAGATTCATACCAAAAGATTATTGGGAACAACATTCCCCAGCTCCTGCACTAGGAGCCAAAGGGAACACAGGCCTAAATATTATGATATGACAGTAACTAAGGCATTTGCGCCCATGCCCAAATGCGCCATTCAATGAAAATAAAAAGCTTCACTCTATGACATCACAAAATCATTAGTAATGGTTGAGGAACTCTCACATCTAGGGTCTTACAATGCAAAAACCCACTGTTAGAGTTAATGTGATTTAGTCTGTCTCTGTTTTGTGAGGAAGGGCTAGGGAGTGTGAGATGCAGTGTTGTCTGGGAGCCCCAAAGGAAGACAGAGAAGTGCAAAACGATGGAAAAGGGTGACAGAAAGACAATCTCACCAAACTATTATTGTTTGGCTGGCGGTATTGCCTACCCCTGGGACTTTGGGTAATGAAGATAATGGGTAGCTGTTGAGGTTTTGCCATCCATTTCCTCACTTTGGAACCCTGCTCTATTCTTCCTAGCACCTCATTCTTAGTTTCTTCTTCTACTTTCCACTTCCCATTCTCTGTCTGACATTCTTTCTGCTTGGCTATTGGGAAGATCTGCTCAGGTCTCAGGGTAGAGAGCAAGAAGGCATACACAGCCTGATAGAGAGTTTGGAAATCCTGGTGTTTCTTCAGTAGCCCAGGAAAGGTTGTTGTAGGAGGATATTGGATTAAAATCCCAGCACTCCATGGGGATTTTTCCATTGTGAAGTGTTTGTTCTCTGATCTGGATTCAGAAGGGAACCCTTTGAGGGAGAAAGGATGAAGAAAAATAGCTTTGCTTGAGCAGTTGTGTTAGGAAGAATTCTAAGTTGATACTCAATGGCCTGTGCTCCTGTGATTCTCTCCTTTTGAGTGTGGATTGCACCCAAGTATAAGATGGGACATCACGCCTGTGATTAGTACTGATCAGCTGACTTGGAATTTATCAAAAAAGACATTATTCTTGGAATCTATCAAAAAAGGCAATGTGAGTTCTTGAAAAAAAGACTTGAAGCATGAGATTTTCACTCTCCAGCTAGCCTCAAGCAAAAGTATATTGCCACTGTTCTACAGCTGAGAAGAAATAAATTCTGCCAGGTGAGCATGGAAGAGACACTTCAGATGAAATCATAGCCCCAGCTAACTTCATGGTTCTTGTATGAGGACTTACTTCAGGTGTACCCAGACTCTAGACCCATAGAAGAAGAAATAACAGACATGTGTTGGTGTGAGCCTCTAAGTTTGTATAATCGATTACACAGCAATAGAAAACAAATACAGACATCTTCAAATGAAAGCCAATACTCACCCCACCGGGGTTACAACACATTACTTTGCATCCAAAGGCAGAGAGAGACACAGAGACGCAGAATTCCAGTGCACTTAAAATGACCACTATGCCATCCATACCCTAAAAAAAAATACAAGATTCATAACAAAAAAGATATGAAGAACAGAGATGACAAGTTCCAGACACTGACCACTAATTACAATGTCAAAATAGAAAAAGCACTGGCCTAGGGTCTAAATCCGGTTCTAAATTGCATTCATACCCTAGGCCAATTCTTGGTCTGCTGAATGTCACTTCCACCTTTTGTTGTCTGATAAAATAGTTAACAGATTTTCCCCCCAGTCTACTACTATTCCATGCTACTGTGGGCACAGAATATGAAAGTGCTTTGAAAATGGGGGCAAAGATTATACAGATAATTGTCTTCTTAGTCCTTTTAAGTGCTAGAAATTAATACCATTGACATTATAATATGATTTCATTTCTTAGTGATTGTAAGCAGAATAATGGTCTCCCAGGGAGATCTGCACTCTAATCTCCAGAACCTGTGAATGCATCAGTTTACATGGCAAAGAAGAGTTAAATTTGCAGATGAAATTAACTGACATGAAAGAATCACACTGTACTCTTTAGGTGGGCTCAAAATAATGAAAGAATCCTGACAAGTGGAAGCAAGGGAAAGAAGAGTCAGAGTCCAAGAGAGATTTGAAGATACTGCACTATTTATTTGAAGATAGAGGATGAGGTGACAAGCCAAACAATATAACCCTCCTGAAGCCAGAAAAGGTAAGAAAACTGTCACCTTGAGTTTTTAGAAAAGAACACAGTTTTGTGAATGATTTTTATCCTAGTAAAACCTATTTTGAACTTCTGCCCTCCAGAAATATAAAACAAAAATCAATTTGTATTGTCTTGAGCCACTGAATGCATGGTAGTTTATTACAGCAACAATAAGAAACTAATGAAACAAGAAACACCAAGACAGTCAGTCTTTAAACCACCTCCTGAGAGAACTGGTTTTAGGTCTAGTCTTTAACTAAAACACATGGTCAAATCTGGGGGACATTGGGCTGTACATTCATTCCAAATCATCTTCTCATGGGTTGAGGAGGGAGGTACTTTGGTTGAAATATTTTCCCTTTTTCTCTTCGTGCTGAAGGCTAATCCCTCTGCTGGGAAAGAGCCAGCAGACCAGGATCTCAGATTATAAGTGATGTGGACTCAAGGGGACTTTGAGAATATTTACATCCATGGCTTATTTCTGTGCTCATACCTTCAGCAAAGGCAGTAACCTCTACATATATTTCAAGCATTGTTACAGGCCCAGAAGGCCAAATAGAATATATTTCAGGTTTTCCAAACCATAAGGTCTCGGCGACAAATAGCAAACTCTGCCATCAGAACACAAAAATAGCAATGCACAATAAGTAGGCACATGGGCTTGGTTACATTTCAATTAAAAGTTATTTACAAAAACAGGTACGAGGCGAGGCTTCCAATAAAAAGCAGCAATATACATATATATGTATATTATATGTACATATATAATATCTTAGTAATATCTTAGTTTGAGCCATGTGAAACTGCCATCCTTCTAGGTCAAGTATAGTTGGCAATTTCATATGGTTCTGTCTAATGATTCCGGCTCTAGGTTACTCTTCCCTATGAAGAGTTCACCTTTTTCTAACCTCTTTTTGTAATTATATACTTCCCAGTATTTCTATCTTTTTCTTCCAGGAGAAACTGGAGTTTCTTTATGGTAGGGAGCTGTTGTCTTTCTTATGTCTCCAAGAGTGCTAAGTTCAATAAGTTTTACTACCTACAAAATCTTGCACAAAGGGCAATTTTCAGAATAAAGCAATTATGATAGCATTGAGATAAGGTAAATTGGTACCAAAACACCAGTAAAATTCAGAATGGATATTGAGAATTTTCTAGAAGCTAGATGTTGAAGTTAGAAGTGGTTAACCTTGCAAGAACATTCAGAGATGCTGAAAAGGATACTGGGCTACCCATCGCATGTAAGGCAATTTTAATGTGTTATAGGAGAATCTTGTAACTCTATCAAGCTCCATCAGGAAACCCTAGCGACATGCAGGAACTTACATCTTGGCTCCATTTTTTAGAGGAGATAACAGTACATACTGATTGGTATGTTAAAATTAAACAGACAAATGTATGCAAGATGCCCAGCACAGTAACCATTAAAGAGTAAGTGTTTTATAACTATAAACTTTCTTCCCATTCTGCCTCATAACATATAGAAGAGGAATAAAGCCAGAGATGAGATGTGGACCTGACTCCCAAATGAAAGGTTGTTTTATTTTTCAATCACTTTCAACTTCCCAAAGTCATTCAGCAATTACAGAATATTGATTATTGTCTTTGCCAAAAGCACCACCCCCCAGACTTGCTTCCACCATAGTATCTTATGAAACGAGGAAACACTCACCATTAAAACGGACATAGTCATGCCACAGTTTTCTGTCTTATTGCGATAGTGGCAGTAAGGGCGATGGAATGAATAAACACTCATGCTTATTGCACTGATTAAGATCCCTGATATAGCCAAGATGGAACTGACGGTGTTTGTTCCTAGACTACCTCGAACCTAGAAGGGAATGAAAACTAGTTGAACAATTCAATAACACCCTCAGCTACATCTCCAGGAATCACATTACATTCACCATTTCCTTCCCAACTCAATCTACCTTATCCATCTTGATTATTTCAGTAGTCTTCTAATTTACCTCCTTAAAGTAGTTTCAACTCTAGTCTCCTGCCAAAACGCAAATATGATTCTGTTATTTCCAAGCTTAAATTCTTCAAGTGACTTTCACGAGCACAGGAAGTAAACTCTGGGTTTTCAATATCCTTTGCGCTTTATCTGGAGAACCCTGTCTGTGTCCGTTCCTGCAATTCCTTCCTTCAGATTCCTGACTTCTACTCATTTTCTAAACGCTGCCTGCCTCTCATGCCTCTATAAGTTTTGCATATCTCTCTCTCTCTGCTGTGTGTTCCTTTCTGTGCTTTCTCTTCTCAGGCAAAAAGGTAAGGAGGCTTTTTATAGAAACTAGTCACACAGGGAAGTGTGAGACATTCGGTGTGGCTGTAGCACAAGACATACTTTCATGGTTGTAGCAGGAGGAAACGCTAAGGAAGAAGGCTGAGGCCAGATTTGGAAAGCCTACATTGATTATTCTCCATTGATCATAGCTTTGGGGCAAAGAAAACTCAAATAAGGTCTCTAGCCAGGAAAACATCAGTTATTACTGACTTTATGAAAGACATATTGGCATGGGAGTTACATTTTAAATTTGATTCTTCTTTTGTAATAAACTTACTGCGAATTTTTTAATTGCAAGCTCAGAGTTCTTTTTGATCCAGTTGAAATATACATTTAGATTGATAAGTCAATAAATATTATGCCACACCAATACTTGATGTCATTGTCATGGACTGGATCTCAAACTGTAGATTTTTTTTTTACTAATCTTACTTAACATTTCTCCACAAGAATTCTTTGTCTTCATACAGTTTATTTTAGAAACTACCTTGCCAAAATATGCAGTCCCACATCAGTAATTCTATCATTAACTAATTGTCTGATTACAATTTTTGAAAAGCATATCCTACTAGGTAAAATTCACAATCTCTCCTGGTTTTTTTAAAAACAAAGAAACAACATCGGTTTTATGCCCTGGTAAGAATGCATGTTTGCTTAATCCTTCCTTTTTTTCATATAAAAAAGGGAAATATTACTCACCAGACCTTTTGTAATTCTAGTTCCTGCTGCAATTGACAAGGATCCTGAAATAATAAACTAGAAATAAGAGGGGGAAAAATGCAGGTAAAAAATTGCTATACAAATATTGGAAATCATATCTTACTAAAGCTTACGTTTAAATTAGATAGATATGTTAAGCAGATGAATTATCTCAGAAGAAACACAAATTTGCATGTAATTCTCCCTTTTCCCAGAAAGAACAGATAAATTCTACCAGATGGATCCATAGAAGAATTGATCAAGCCTTTCAAAAATCATCTAACTGGAATGGTAAGAAAACTACAAAAGAGCACTGAAAGATAAGACGTGCAAACTCCTGATATGAAGTCTTCCTTGTATGACACCAGAATTGAATAAGACATTCAAACAAAAACAAACTTAAATTTTTTTCTCACTTAAGATATTTATTAATCATTTTAAATAAAATAGGAAAAAAACTTAAATTTCCAATTAGATGATGACTGGAATATACTAGTTTCTTTGCTTCCATCAATAGGGTAATTATTTCCCTTTAGCTAAAATAGAATATGGTCAGTTGAACTCTCTGTCTTATACTATTCAACTCTTTGAGTTTCTGGATTTGCTTTCAGATTTGATTTCAGACGATTCAAAAATTCTATCTTAATACCAAAAAAAAGACTGAACTAATAAAATAGTTTGATAAATTTCTTCAACGAATTTCTAAATACCCAGACATAGAATGATTCGTTTAATTTAAATCACCTCTAGAAAATTTAGTAGAGAGAATCATCCATCATATTATACAAAGTAAATCATGAATATGTGGGATGTTCCTTCAACTGTGCAAATATTTTCAGTGTTTAAATATTATAACTTGTGAAATTAGTGAATTTAAGGGAAAAAAATCACATGCTATTTGCTATTCATGTTTACAATGTTGATAGCACATTTAATACAATCAATATTATTGTTGACTTAAGCATTATTGGTTAAATATAAAGAACTGAATTTTCCATAACATGATAAAACATCTGCATGTCTAAAAGTCTTTATCATGTTTAACGGTAAGACATTAGGACCATCTCATTAAAGTCAAAATCAAGATAAAGATGTAAATCATCATGCAATACTATTCTGAATATGTGAACTAAAATAATTATATAAGAAAAATGTTTGAAACATAGTTAAAATCACTGTTATTTAAGTATGAATAATATGTATTGTAAACATCCAAGAACATGAATTTAAAACTACTATAAACTATTAAAAGATTCAGTAAGATACATGGGAAAAATACTATACACAGAAATTATATATACATATTGTGTGTATGTGTTTTGTGTATTTGAAGACAAATTGAATAAAAGGACCTCATCTGCTACTACTACTACTACTACTACTACTATACACACACACACACACACACACACACACACACACACACACACACACACACATTCATGAATGGCATATTTCAGAGGAAAAAAATGTAACAAGGAATGTGAAAGACATATAAGACTAAAACTGCAAAACTTTACATTGGTCCAAAAGTACACAAAGGAAAACTTGAATAGACGAGTGTGGAAATAATTTTATGTGACTCTATTAAATAACATATAGCTGTTGTACTAAAGATTCAAGTGGACAAAAAATATGAAAAGTATGGTTGGTTCTTGGTTTAGGACATAGACTGTACAAGGAAGAAAAAAAAGAAGTACTTCACTAGTGAAGTCTGGAAATAAGGTTGAAAGAATAATGGATGATAACAGCAAAAAAAGAAAAAGTTTAATCAATTAAGCAAAGTATATCTAGTTTGATGCCTACAATAGTCTAAGTGGGCCGGGCTTGGTGGCTCAGCCTGTCATCCCAACACTCTGGGAGACTGAGGCAAGTGGATTTCCTGAGCCCGTGGGTTTGAGACCAGCCCGGGCAACTTGGCGAGACCTCATCTCTACACTCAAAAATTTGCCGGGTGTGGTAGCACGCACCTATAGTTCCAGCTACTTGGAAGGCTGAGGTGAAAGGATCACTAGCACCCAGTAGGTCAACGCTGGGGTGGTTGTGAATGTGCCACTGCACTCCAGCCTGGGCGATAGAGTGAGACTCACACTCAAAACAACAAAAAAAGTCTAAGTGATGCCTTAATTGACAAACACAGCTCCTGCTGTTCCTGGTAATATACTGAACATATGTGGGAGACTTCAACTACGTAAGCTGTTTTCCAATGTGGTTTGAAAAGGACGTGAAAATTAAAGCAGAAAACTAGAGTGGTTAGAGGAGTGCAGTTCTGGAAAGACAACACTGACCCATTTGACACTGGTTCCTGTCCCAAATAGTTGCGACCTTGGGTAACTTACTTATCCTCTCTAAGTCCCAATTTCTTCATCCATAAAAGGATAATGATAAATCCTTCCCCAAAAGTTTTTAGTGATTGTTTAAAGTAACATTGTACACATAATTCACTTAGTAGACTGCCGAGATTATAGTGACTATTTAACAGAAACTGTTATTGGCATGAATATTTTTTCTTTTTCTTTTCCTTTTATTTTAAAAATGTGGGG